AATGAATGAAATGATTTAGATTGCAAGGAGATTTTGATCTGTGAAGGAATAAAGAGATAAGGAAATTAAATGATAGAGTTTAAAGGTTTAAGAATGAAAAGGGTTATAATGAGGTGTAAAGTATAAGTTTGGTATAAAAGTAAGAATTTTTCAATTCTAAGTGGAAAGGATAAAGAGTTATGAATTTTGTATCAGAATTTTAGTAGAGACTAAATTTGGAGGTTTATGAAGAAACTGATTAAGTTAGTATCCTTTATCATACTGAGGTAAATATTTATTGGATAAGTATGTAAGGTAATATGAAAAGATTGTTGGATTTTGTAAATTGTATGTCTTAATTATATCTGATGAAGATTTAAGATTATCTCAAAGTTGTGGAAATCTTTGAAAAGGTCTTAGGAATTTAAATTAATTGTAGCATTGATATCTATGCATAGACAAATAGTGAGTTTAACATATGATTCATACTTTAAAAAGGGTATGTATGATTGAGTTCAAAGAATCATGGGAAAATTATTTACCTTTAGTAGAATTTGTCTATAATAATTATTATTAATTGAGCATTAAGATGACTCTGTATGAAGTTTTATTTGGGAGAAAATATCGGACATCATTGATTTGGTTCAAGTTAAAGGATCATAATTTTATTTTCCAGGATTTATTGAAAGTGGTTGAGGATAAAGTAAAGATAATTTAAGATAATTTCAAGATGACATCTAATCGACAGAAGTATTAGGCAGACTTGAGACAGAAATAAATTGAATTTCATGAAGACGATAAATTTTTCTTAAAGTATCATATTAGAAAAAAAATCATGCAAAGGGGAGAGTATAATAGAGTTTAAAAGATCGAAAAAAGAATGTCAGACTAAGTTAACCAAGTGTAACATGTATTGGTTTAAGGTTGTGTTTCTTAACCATGTAAATATAGTAAAAGAGATAAGGATTTATTTATATGTATGAAGGAAACTTGAGATATATTTGAATGATAGTATTCTCTCTAATCAAGTTGTTAAAGATAAGCATGTTACTTTTGAGATGATAAAAAGAGTATTGACATCAATTTCAAGATTGATATGAGTAAAATTTAGAAAGAAATGTGTATAATAATTTGGATGAAGATGGTATAAGAATAAATGTTTGGTTTATGTTGTAAGTCATTAGAGATTGATGAAAGAAATCAACGGACTCATGATGTTGAGTGATAAGGATTGAGATTACCGTATGGATGGAACCTTATTATTTCCATGATGAGCGACATTATATTTATACAAATTTATAAAGATTAAAAGGTGTAGAATCGAATGAGTAAAAAGATAGAAATGAATGTAATTCCTTGTTGATTGAAAATAAGTTTAGTAATTACAACCACGAAGGGAAAGTTAAAGATTTAAAGTCAGATAATGTTGTCATAGGAAGAGTTATTATTGAGCTTGTTTAATGAGTAGTAGGTTTGCAAGTAAAGAAAGATATCAAAATAGTTTTTTTGTGACATTGTGTAAAAGAAATGCTGGAAACTATTAAGTTAGTTGAATAGAAATATTGAGATTTTGTATGGACGGATTGGATCAAAGAAGTTGAAGAAAAGTGGGAAAAAAAATTAAGATAGTGGATAGTTAACAGAAGTTCTATATATATAGTTAAAAAAATGGAATTTCTATATAAGTGATAAAGTATTTATTAATGTCTTGTTCCGAATAAGATTCTCTGTATAGTATAGCTCAGTCCTACATTCATTGGACCTTATGGATCTTTAAAAGAGGTGGATCTGTAGTATAATATGGAAGTACAAATATGATATAAGTAGACAGTTCCCATCTATTTGTACAGTGAAAATTCGAGGATGAATTTTCTTAAGGGGGAGATATTTGTAACATCCCAAAATACAGGTTAGTGATTAACGTATAAAACTTTAGAGTTTGGTGATTGAAGTAGGATATTTGAATAGTTTAATGATTTGTTCATAAATATTTCCTGAAAGTTATTAGTAATTATCAAAGGAATTAAGGGGCAAATGGTCATTTATTATGAAAGATATTTTTTATCTCTTTATGAAGAGATAAACGTTGGGGGAGAGTATTTAGAAAACTCTTCTTCTTCTTACCTTCTTCTTCTCCAACGTGCAGAGCATAAGGTGAGTTTTCTATTTGTTGGTTATTTGTTAAATTGAAGATTAGGTTTTGATCATTAGATGATAACTAAGCTTAAGGAAAGCTTAAGTTGTCTTATAATCAAAAGATGAAGAAGTTATAAGATATTTAAGAAAATGAGTTTTTATATGAAATCATGGAAAAGAGTTGATAAGTTGAATTTGAAGTTAAATTTGACTTGTCATCATGTTAATTAAGGAATATGAAGTGTTAGAATTGTATTTAGAACATATTGAAATTTGAGTATGATTATTGAATTACATATGAAGGATAGAATTTTGAAGTTATAGATGATTTTCATGGATATAAGTTGGTTTAAGTAATGGTAGTTGAGTTTAATGACATGATAGGGGTTTAAAATAGAAGAATTAAGTGAAGAATTGATGATTTTCGGGGTTAGAATACAATTTCTGGGTAGAGGGAACCGATACCCTATGAAGGGAATCGATTCCCCCTCTTGGACAAAAATTCCAGTATGTGCAGGGGGAACAGATTCCCCCCTGGGGGGGTATCGATTCCCTGGGAACAGATTCCCCCTGGGGGGTATCGATTCCCCCCTAAATTAAAAAATGGAATTTGATTCATTAAACCGGTTTAAGTTGTTAACATCAAGGTTAAGGTTTAGGCTTCTGATAGTTGTTTTGAAATGTTATATTTATGTAGATATTGAGCATAAACAAGTTCTGGAATAATCAAAGGATTAGAATTGATTCAAATCAAACAAGGCTAAGGTGAGTGCAATTTTAATTGTACTTATATTATTGAATGAACATTGGCTTGCGATGAGCCAATGATGGAGTTACTATGGTAAGAAGTGACTCCTAAAATGTTATTTGATATGTGCTTTTACATGTACATGAATACATGATATGCATAAATATAAGAGTATGAAACATATGTGATATATGCTATGAGACATGACCAATGTGAAATGAGATAAGCTATGTGATTATATGAAATGATATATGAATATGCAATACGTGATACATGTGATATGATATGAAATGACATATGAATATGTAATACGTGATACATGTGATATGATATGAAATACATGGTTACACATACATGTGGTATGTGACAGAAGAGAAAGAACAAGTGATGAGAAATGTATTCATAATAAATGCCCATAGTATATGATACGAGAATTATATGTATAGTTGGCATGCCAAGAGTCGAGGGTTACATATGTCCTATAAGACATATGATAGGTCCTACGGGACACAGATTACATCCTTCGGGATGACAGGTCCTTCGGGACACAGATGACATCTTTCGGGATGATAGGTCCTTTGGGACATTTATACGAGCTGTGGTGACAGCATATGTGTGCACAACATCAGTGTACTCGCATACCTCTATTCCCAATAATATACATGGGCAATACAATTGAAGGATAAATTAAAGTGAAAGTGATACAAGAAGGTAAGTTTCACATGTGCATGACATGATGTATATATATGTCATATTGAAATATATACATGCATATTGAAATGTTATGATTAAATGGTAAGAATGCATATTGAAATATATACATGCATATTGAAATGTTATGATTAAATGGTAAGAATGCATATTCATGAAATCTACTGTTACATGTTTATTTATTGCCTCACTAAGTCTATGACTTAGCGTGTAAGTGATTTACACGTAGGTACCAAGAAACGTGAAGAGCAAGAATAGAAGTAGCAAGGACAGTATTATTACTAGAAGATCAGATCAGAAGTAATCGACAAAGTATGTATTTTGGCGTGTATAAAGTGTTGGCAGGTAATAAGTCGTTAATTACGAGTACTCTGATAGAGTTTGTATTTTGTGGTCAATTTTATGTAAATTAACGTATTTTGCTTTAAACAAAGTTTTAAATTTCTCTCTTTTTCAAAAGAGTCAAAGTTTGAAAAGTCAATGTGACACCTCGGACTTGTATTCGAGTCGGGTACGGGTTGGGGTGTTACAGAAAATGTCACTGACGTTTCAATTTTGTCAATTTTAGCACGGACATTTATGTTTCACTGCAATTTTGCCACTCCGCCGTTAATCCGTTAACGGGACGATGACATGTCATATTTGTTCCGTGACGGCGATGACATTACTCCCTCATCAAAACGACGTCGTTTTGGCACTACCGTTTTGATGCTCTAAAAGCTCAAAACGAAGTCGTTTTGTTGATGAAAAATGTTTTTCATGGGATTCAAACCGTAGACCTTTAGAATCCAAAACTAAATACTCAACCACCAAACTAACTTAAAAACTTGACATAATCTTAACAAAACTATTATAAATGTTTTATCACTACCACCGTCAAAAATCTGATTTAGAATTTTCTTGATAGAAAAACTCAGAAATCATGGCGGAGGAACTAACCTCAAATTGGTTGCAGAAAAAAAATATATATGGTGGCTGACAAAGATACGTGCTTTCAGCACATATATGTGGGTACTTATAATGTAGAGACATTAGGTCTTCTAAATTTTTATTTGTTTATAAAATGAGGCCAAATTCAGCACATATAAGTGTTTTTGTTCTTAGAGGAAGTAGGATTGGAATTCACTTGGGTGACAAGGCTGATAATTGTGCATCGGGTTATAATAATATAAATATTTACATTAGTTACAAATTTTGAATTTGAAGTAATTAGAAATCATATATCTTTCATTATATTAGATTTTTCACAAGTGATATGCACAACTATTTTATTTATTCATAAGCGGAACAAAACATTTCAGGGAGCCGACATGCTCCAAACTGTAGAATGCCGAGCTGGTCGGTTTCCCATTCACTTCTCCTTAAACTGCAGTTTAGCTTTCTCACTGATATTCCGTGACAGTGTTTCAAGCTATTTTGTGCTTCACTTTCTCATATCTGGTACTATCCATTTCACTTTTAACGCTTCTTAATAGGGCCTGTGATCTTGGTTTCTCGGTACTTTAATGTCAAATGTTGGGGTTTCCTGTCTTTTTGCAATTTTTTCTTTCTTGAAATGATATGTTGAGAGAAAGAGAGAGAGTTTCGGGAACAATAATTGAGAGCTACTGTGTAAGAGCTTAGGTGGAAAGTTCCAAGTTGGTTGCCAGCTTGAGCTAAGTCCTAATAATTGGGAGATGTTGCTTCCAAGAATCAAATTGGAGATTTGAACTGAAATTTTTGGTCTTCAACTCCTAGTAATCCCATTGATTCTCTATTTTCTTAGAAAGAGCTGTGTTCTGTTCCAAGCAGCTGCTTTTGAAGACCTAAAATGGCAAATGATCTTGGATTACCATTTTACATCACCATATGCTGCATCGCCTTTATCATTTCGAAGATAATTCTCATGTTTCTCCTTTATAAGCGGTGGAAAAGAAAGAAAATGATTTACGAGGGAGGTTTCTCAGGTTTTAATTTTCGCATTAAATCACCAGTCTTCCTATGATTTGATTTCTCATGGAGCAATAGCATCCTCTGGAAAATGTAGGTGGGAAAATGGTGTTCAGGTCTCCATTATTGCAATCTCTAACATCAGATGTGTTCTTGAAGAAAACATTAAAGCTAAGCAATAAAGACATAGTTGGTACCGGAGGGTATGGTACCGTTTACAGGTTAACGGTAAACAAGACCACAGCGTTCGCCGTGAAAAGACTAAAGAGAGGAACTGCGGATAGAGAGAGAGGTTTCGAGAGAGAACTGGAAGCAATGGGGGATATCAAGCACCGCAACATCGTAACACTTCATGGATATTGCACCACTCCTCACTACAATCTTCTTATATATGAACTAATGCCTAATGGAAGCTTGGATTCTTTTCTCCATGGTAAGTACCACACTGTTTCTTCACGGCAAAGGCTCCATCTTCAAGTTTGCAAGCATTCATTTCAAATTTCGTCCAAACGAATACGATTCAGTATCATTACGAAAATAAGATTAAACGGAAATGCAGAAAAATCAATGGAAAGCAAGGTTTTGGATTGGCCAACAAGATGTAAAATAGCATTAGGTGCTGCAAGAGGAATAGCATACCTTCACCATGATTGTATCCCTCATATCATCCATAGAGATATCAAGTCGAGCAATATATTACTCGACCACAACATGGAGGCACGAGTCTCAGATTTCGGACTCGCTACGTTGATGGAGCCAGACAAGACTCATGTTTCAACATTTGTTGCTGGAACTTTTGGATATTTAGCCCCAGGTATCATGAACAAAATTGCTGTCAGTCATTCTCTTCTTATGTTTCAAAGATTGATAATTGAATTCGGTGTTTGTCTGTAGAATATTTTGAAACGGGAAGAGCAACAATAAAGGGAGATGTTTACAGCTTTGGAGTCGTTTTGCTGGAGATTTTAACAGGAAAGAAACCGACGGATGAGGCATTTCTTGAAGAGGGAACAAAGCTTGTTACATGGGTAAAGCTTTCATCAACGTTGAAATGCATATATAAATCCGAAATATTCAAACAAAAAAATATCAAATCCATTACCATAGCACTAATCATTCTGCTATTAGATGAACAGGTAAAGGTAGTTGTCGAAGAAAGGACAGAAGAATATGTAGTTGACAGTAGCTTAGGTTGTTCTTGTCCTATGGATGAGATCAACAAAACACTCAACGTAGCATTGCTGTGCCTCGAAACAGATCCGTCAAAGAGGCCTACAATGGCCGAAGTTGTAAGGATGCTGGAGCAGATAAAAGTCAGAGAAAGCTCTAACGGATGCTTAATGTAATGCTTAGTCTAATCATCAAAAACACTTGTACAGAACATTTTCATCATGTTTGATTCAATAACCATGAAAATGTTAAGTTACACAAGATCCGAGCTTTATTCATTAAAGTTGAAAACTCGAGGAAACTACCTCATTGTATTTACTTGAGAAAGGCGGCCAGCCCACCGGCAACTGATGTCTTCAATGAAGGAGAAACCGAAGAATCTCCGAAAAATACATCAAAAAGTGCAGAACCTACTTTTGCCGACTCAATTGTAGCATCCATACAAGTTGGTATTCCATCCAATGAGACAGCAATCTGAAACAAAACGATAACAGGGATTAACCATGTGAACTTAGAGTGTTCTAATGTCCATATTTAAGTTACACTCACAAGCATTTTGGATGTGTCGGGCCAAGTCAAAAAGATGGAAGTTCCTTTATTAAGAGGTCGTCCTTGGAAAATACTACGTAATGTGGATAGTGCAGATTCATCGACCGGTGTTGGCGCCTTGATCCTTGGGGAGACAGCTTCATCCAAAGCATCCCAGAATGTTTTGCCATCGACATCTCTGACCAGCACAATCTGCAACGATTTCTCCATTGGAGCTGCAGTTAAAACAAGTTAATTAGCAACCTTCTATCATCTCTTTCCTCATGTTGCCTGGACATTTAGACGCATATATATGACATATTTGCATGCATCCGATACTCACCCTCGAAAATCGACTTGAACAAGAACATGTCATCTTGAAGTTGAGTAGCAGACCGTCCCTTCCAGGCATCCAATTTACTTAAGATGGATTGATCGACATATAATCCAGCAGCATAAACCTTAACACCAATGATGGCAAAAACTTTCTCCCTGTACCCTGAAATCATTAGGCAGCTTTATAAATAACTCCATAGCTATTGTAGTATACTAGGTTTGTACGACTAGTACTTGTTCATACATATTGTAGCAACTGACCTGTACCGAGCAAAGACAAGGAACTTGAGCAACCAGGCAAACTTAAAGATGTCTGAAATTTCACTTTGGTTGTGGGTTCCTCAGTGTAATCTGCAGTTCCCACTGCACATTGATAAAAAGAGAAACAATATTTAGGCCTTAATTTCAAGAAAATATGATGCTAAATTGTTTTCACATGCTTCCAGCTATGTCATGGATTCTTGAAAGCATAGAGAAATCAAATCCACCTTCATTCTAGCCATCTGCATGTTTGAATACACATAAAAGGAACAAATAATCCAGCTTCATTTAGGTTCAATCAGCAGATTCAAAACTTTTTCACCCAGTAAACACAAAACCAACAAGGAACAACATGCAGCTATAATAATCAAAATACCTGTAGAAGATGAAGAAGAAGCTTTCAAAGTGAAATGGGTTTCAATTACTTTGTTCTTCTGAGGGGAGAAATGAGATGACAGAGGCAGAGAATGAAATTTGTGAATTGCAAGAAGTGGGTGTGAAAGTTTTCCTGGGAAATTGCTTCTGGGTTTACAAGGTAACGGTGAAGTGATGCACATTGGTGTCGAAACGGATCCTAACCCAACCATTTTCTGAGCTTCTTGTGTTAATTTACAAGCTGAAATCTGCAGTCTCAGGAGTAAAAACAGAAGGGGGACTGTTGAAGGGAACAGTTATTTGTCTTCGATTCAAGCTCGATCCGATCAGTTATCTAAAATAATTATTGATTAATTAGTTAAAACGGTATTACTAAAAATAGTAGATTGAAAGGAGATTATCAAAAAGTTACAGCAGTAAGGTTGACCTATTACTACAAACGACAACAAACCAAACTCCACGTAGAAAGCAAATAAAAATAGGGTAAACTACATGTTTAGTATCTGACTTATCACTTTTATTCCGTTTTAGTACCTAAACTTTTAATTTTTTCAAAATTATACCTAATGTTTACTTTTTATTTTATTTTAGTACCCCATTGTTAACTTTTTATTTCATTTCAGTTCCTAATTTTTTGACGGTGGGGTACTAAAATGAAATAAAAAGTAAACTTTAAGTATGGTTTTGAAAAAATTGAAAGTTTAGGTTCTAAAATGGAACAAAAGTGATAGTTTAGGCACTAACATGTAGTTTACCCAGAAAAATAAGTCACTGCATTTAATTTTTAAGATGTTTTCGTTTTGGTTATCAAATTTTTAAAATTTACATTATAATTATCAAATTGTTTACAAGGGTTTAATTTTTTTCGAATAAATTAATTTAAATTTGGAGCAATCAAAGATAAATTCGGGAAGTACGAGCTGTGATCTGATTAGGGTTTAATTTATGTTTTCTAATTTTGATCATTGAAATCCTTAAATTAATTAATTAAGTGATCAATGAGAACTGAAAACTGCCATTTATATATTGGTTCAGACCCAATTATGGAGCCCAGCAACCTAAAACCAAATTACATCTCAATCTCAACATTACCTAAATCCAGTTGCCCAAATACCTAAAGCCTACTTGACTCATTACACCTAAAATCCAAACTCAACCGGCCCAATAGTTAAAAACCCAAAGAAAAATAGAACCCTGATTTTTTTATTAATCTAGTGTAAGTATAAGGTAATATTTGTTCAATGATAACTCTCAACCATTTAACATTGGACGTTTATACCCAAGCATTCATTGTGCTCAAACCAAGGATATCAAGGAACAACAACAATTTCTTTACCATTAAAGTCATCTGGTTCATGCTACAGCCCTAAAACAAAATGGATCTATTGTTACCTTCATCAACGACAAAGATCACAACCACGTCGACACCAACAGTGCCTTCAGTCAACCATGTCACCAATTTTTGGAATTTTATTCAAACAATTTTTGAGAATTATCTTTTGTATTTATTAGAAATTATCTTTAAACATTTTTATGGTTTTTAGGAAACTATAAATAGCCCTTGAGTAAGCTTCAAACATGTCTCAGATTGCCTAAACTTGTTTACTCTTGTTTTTATTTTTCTATAAAAGTTTTTACTTTTCTTTTTCGTTTTTTCTTTTTCAAGTTTTTATTATTTTTCTTTAAAATGCTAAGTATGATTTCTATCATACTTAGCTAAGTTTTTTCATAGCCAAAGGTTGAAGCGATGACTCAATTTCAATCGTGAGAATTGAAAAGCACTCAATACCCTTCGGGTTACATTTTCGGTTTTCTAGAATCAAGGATCGGTAATCGACCATCCTTTTATAATCAAAATGCTTTCAAATCGAAAAGAGCTCGTTGGCTTGTTAGTTATTTTGATTAATAGTTGGGAGGAAGGATCGGCTTGTAGCACATATGACTTCCTGTGAACACACTTAGCAGCGGTCCGCTAAGGGAAACTGATATTGGATTCGATTCTCAGCGAGACACTATAATCCGAGTTAAGTTTTTTCAAAGCTTTTAATTGATTTGGTGATAATAACGATTATCGCGATTAGTCCACATAAGGACTGATAATCAAAGATTTGTTTGGACTGTCAGTTCAATTGAGAACAAGTTAAAAGGGTTGGGCTATATAGACTGTAACTAACATGAATCCGAAGCTAAAATTTATTTAGATGATTTACGGAATTTGAGGCAAAGCGAAAGACTGGGGTTGATTTTTTACTATTGAATTTTAAATTTTTCTTATTTAATTTTTTACTTTCTTTTTTGCTTCTCGACAAACCCCTCATTTTTACTTCCTTTTGCAATTCACGCTTAGCTTAGAAGCAAAACCAATTCATTGGCAAATTCAATATTCCCTGCGGATCGATCCTTACTCTCTTTATACTATTCTTTTCTATTTATTTTTGTTGAGATTAAGGCATGTTTTATTTGACACTGAAAAAACGTGTTATCAATGGGAGGTGCAGCTGCCCCCTAATATTGACAGACTAATTACATTTTAGGTCATTGGATATCTTGAAACTATTACAATTAAGCCCTTGCCCCCACCCCAAATTTCTTGGTATAATTACTTTTGAGATACTGTTAGTTTTAAAATTAATAGAATTAAGTCTTGACCTAAAATTTATATGATTTAATTATTTTTTAAGACTTTTAAATTTTAAAATTAGTAGAATTATACCATCAATCTTTTATTTTTTTATGATTTAATTATTTTCAAGGTCATATTTATTTTAAAATTAAACAACTTGCCCTAGAGGTTCAAATTATAGTTACGATTGTGTTTTCGGTTACGTTGTGTTTATCTCGATTATGGCAATAGCAGTTGCTATTGCGGGTACCGCGATTTGAGATAAAGATTTCAAAGAAATTTTTACCTCTACTTAACAGTTTCTATTCTGATAGCGAACCGATATTTAAAATCCTATTTGCCCCCTCATAGTTTAATCTTGGCTCCATCCTTGATTTTCCATATCTTATATTTCTTTAACCAAATACTGTGATCTTACATACCTGCCAAACAAATCAAACAAGGTAATACAACATTCATAGTAATAGGTTAAGTAATGTATCATTTTGGTAACTTCATTCTCAAAGGTAATCTTACATTTCATGAACCAAACGACCCCTTAGTGTACAACTTTTAGTTTTACACCATTTTAAGATAATTGGATGAGTGAAAACCAAAGGCTGAGATTAACTCATTGTTTTTGTTCTAGTGGATATATTATCATTTCCTACTGTTAATCACAACCTTCGATTTTCTCTCATCCAACTATCCTAAAAGGATAAAAAAGTTTTATACTATGTAATTGGATTTTAACTCTTTGTGTGTGTGTATATATATATATATATTAAAATAGTCTAAGTTAATTGGATAAAATAATTCTGACTTCCGGAAGTCTCCCACGGAAGCTGCTCTCAACCTGACGTAGGGGGCAACCTACTATCTTACCTCCCCTTATCCCATTATATATGGGAATAGAGTCAGTTAATTTTATTAACAATACAGACGATCTTATAAACACAATTGGTCATAATTTTTTTGAATGTGTATTTTCAATGAATTAATATGCTTCTTTAATTTTAGTTTGAGGTCTATTTGTACCATTCTTTTCCCTTATATGTAGTATTATACTGTACTACTATCATTCATCATATGCATTTTATGTACAACATTTTTTTGTCTCTTACAATAAAATATTTGTTTGAGACCTATTTTGACCTTTTTTTTTTCTTTATAAAACAATAAAGTATTTTAATTCTTTTATCACATGTATTTGTCTCCTTATAAATGCGATTCTTCAAGGAGATCCATTTAAGATTTTATTCTGATTTTAATTATACAAATTTATTACAAATTGCCGATTTTCTATCTTTTTATGAACCAAATCATCAAATAATTGTCTGAATTCAAATACCAAGAAGAATCAAACACGTGACAATTTATATCGATCACTCAATTGTAAGAGAGATAAAGAAAGGTAGTACATCTGTACATGGCTCTTTGTTTCGATCAACAACTGCCGCTTTGCAATAAGACCTCTTGATTTCTTACCTTAGTTTTCATAAATTTCATTTTTCTATTTTATAAATTATTTACCCTTTTCCACGTGTTTGTATTTTTTGCCTTTTTAGTCCAAAAAACATCAAGAGCCTCTCAAAACTCCTTCAATTGAACCTGATAAGCAGCTCAGGACAAAGCTAACAGAAAGTCCTATGTGGGATATTTTCATCCACTCAAATTTTTTAAACACTTCTTTAACTTAGGAGCACCATTGTCCTTAAATTTCCTGTAAGAGAAATGGAAGCCTTTTAAAAATAAATTGAACACACCCTCTTGAGCTCTTGTTGAATACTCAGTTTTCGTTTCAGCTTGTGTTCTTCATTTTGGTGATTGTTTCATGGGGAATTGACAAAAAAAGATTGAATCTTTATTTCTGGGTTTTTGTTATAAAGAGTGAAAAACTTGGCATTTTTTGCTCTTTTTATTGTGGTTGGGGTGTTGGTATTAAGAATGATGTCAATGACATGCCATAGTCTTGATTTTGGAGCAAGAGTGCTTGATTTGATCGCTGTTGGCTCGTCCTCTAATGCTTCGATTGAAAGGCACTCGGTGAAGAATCACGGCAAGACATTTACCAGTAAAGTCTATGGAGCTAGAAGAATGGTTTGTTGCAGGCAGAACATTTGTAGAACTCGTGCCTTCTCCACAAATACTTCTGAGGCTCTACTTGATGGTGAGAATCATTCAAATTTCAATATTGTTTCTGGCTTTAAGTCATTGAAAAATGAGTTGTTTTAGTATCCTTAATCTGGTTCTATCTAATCAATTGGTTTTTATAGTTTTATTGTTAGCATTGGAGTTCGTATACTTGGAGTCGTTCATTTTGTTTACTTGATTACTTCTACTTCTTTTTCTATTCCTGAGATTTTGCCTGTTGGTTCCATGTTTAATTGGAAATAATAGTTCAATTTTCATATTATGCTTTGGTTTTTATATTTGAGTTCAGTACTTGGAATTGATTTTATTCCATTTTGACATCAATGTAGGAGTCGGTGAACGCACCGCCCCAGTGTTGGATTTGAAGAAAGAGGCTAAAAGTCCCGCTTCACTGGCTAACTTGTTTGAAGTGGTTGCTGATGACCTCCAGACTTTAAATCAAAATCTCCAGTCGGTACGAGCTCATCGAGGCTTTAATTCTTATGTTTCCTTTATAGTTCTGTTATCATATGTAAAAAAATTTGCATGTTCGAAAGGATTTTGTTCGACTTCTATGGT